TCGGGTAAGTTTATATTCAACTCTGAACAAAGGAAAAATTAAACATCACTTAAAAAAAGAATTTGAAATACATAATAAAAAGCTGTGTAAGATTTTGATCTAAAAAGTTATAAATAATTAATGGTCCAGATAAATATGGACTATTGATTTTTATTATCAGATTTTGGAATTAACTATTAAAAATAAACAGTTTCTACTGACAAACAGATTTATTTTGGCTATCCTAGGTCAAAACAAAGATAAGTGATAATATTAGAAATTGGAAGCTAGAGAGGACTAAAGGTTCTACCTAGAAAACAAAATACAAGCCTGTTTTTGATATCAGAATACTGGGGCTTACAAAATAATGCAAAATGTTATAACAGTGGAAATATTAAAGGATGTCTTTGAAGAATGGAACAAGAAATTAGTAACTACAATATCAACACTGTCAGTAATGATGTTTGCTTCAATGGTTAGACTATATCCAAAATATGTTAATGAAGGAGACTCCTGATTGGCCATCGGTGCCTTCGAACGAATGGAGGCGAACTCCGTCTTCAGTGTCTGATTTCATCCCACTGGGGGACCCTGGAAAGGGTCGAAAGTCACCCTGTAGGGGCGATGAGCGAGGAGGAGATCCCTGCTTGATTGCGGGAGGGCAGCAGCCCTTCCGCTCGATCCAGGGCAGCTCTCCATACTGGCGGGGGAAATACCAGCCATAGCAATATGTCTCGTCATTAAGCTGCTGACAGCTGAAGTCAAAATTACTACCAAGCACCTTTAAAGCAACGCGGATGAAACTGGGTGAGATCTGATCTTCTCTTTAAGACTCTAAATATCTTTCCTGCAAAAGCTGCTCTAAGTATTCTTCCCCCTGTGAGGAGAGAGGGAAGGGAATTCCTGCCCCACCCTCTAAGAACAGCACCGACTGACTACCCAGGGGAAACAAAGCAATTATAAAAACAACTTTAATCTAATTGGATGCATATACTTTTGAAATTTAGGGACTAAAAAGTTTTCTTAGAAGTTTTCTTAGTCCTGTTTCTACTGGATACACTGATTATTATTTAAAAAGAAAAGAAATAAACTTTGAAAAACTATTATAAAAATGGGGGACTTAAAAAGTTTTAAACGGCATCAGTGACATCTTATGGCAAAGTTTGGTATTACAACTTGTTATTGCCTAAAAGAACTTGGCTTGAAGCCCAGACTTTAGATAAAACTCTTTTGACATCGATACCACCTGTGAGAAACTCAGCTGTAAAGAGAATGTCTGGGCGGCATAACTGGCCTGCTTGAACTATGAATGTAAACCTTTATTGACTTTCAGAGTTATATGTGGGGAATTGCCTTCCTATCTCTTTATTTGAGGAACATTGGTTATTATATGAGATGATGAAATACCTTGGACTATAAAATCTTACTTGACAAATGACTTCTACTATAAAGAGTATCTATAAACACATGAAATAGAGGTCACATACCTAGTTATAAAAAAAAATTAACGTCTGATTTTAAAGTCCTCAACTTAACACATTATTAAGAGAATATGGATGAAGACCAAGGAAAGATCCTTTCCATGTTGAAAGCAATACATGAAACCATTCTTTCATCTTGTGATAAAATAAGACCTAACATAAAAGAACAAGATGCCAGCTTAGATACACAAACCCAGACTTTGACTACAACCAAAGAACTAACAACACAGAAGATAACAGAATAAGTGGAACAATCAAATATTAAGACAGAGGACTCAATTGACCAACAAATACAGTTAATGGAAAATCCAGGGAGTGACAACACTGAAACTGGAAAAGACTTTCTATATAAATCAGAAGAAATTTGAGAAAGAAGAACAGATTGAATGGAAGATAAACATATCAGAACAATCATGGGGGATTGGAATAATACAGCGACAATTTAATGAATACAAATGGGCTAGTCCTTCCCAAAAAAATGGCAACTAAACGGTCTCTCTTATTTCAAATAACATATATAATAATAGAGGAAGATCTATTTGATGATCTAAAAGCAAAGACATGGAAGGCTAGTTGGCAAAGGAAGAAAGCCAGAATAAGGCTGAAGAAAATTGGGGTTTTGATTTATTAGAGGGGATTTCATATTACTAATCAGAGGGTTAGGGATATAAGGGGAATTTTGGTCATTAGATCTAAAATATTTGGAAACTGGTTGAAAATAAGGATTTTATTTTAATATCTAAAAATTAGACTCAAAAGAAAAAAAATAATTATTATGAATATGTTTGATTTATTGATTAACCCAGACAATATATAAATGGTTTTGATTTATTAAAGGGGATACTGTATTATTAAATAGATGATTTAATATGGTGGGAAATAGATAACTTTTAGGAAATAAACAAGACTATATTCAAATAGATAAAATATGTATTTTGAATATTAGATTCTGTTATGAATTGAGATAAAGGAAACTTTGGTTACCTAAAGCCTGAAAATTATAAATATGAAATGTTAAATTGGAATATTGATGGGAAACTAAAAATTGGGAAAAAATCAATAACAGGACATTGATTGTTTATAAATGTAAAATGTAAATGTAAAAGTAATTAAGATATGTATAAGCTAAAAATTTATTGATAAATGTAATAATGATGTTTTTACTTACTTGATATAATAAGAACTGTATTAGCTTAAATATGAGATAGTAGATATTAAGTGAAAAAGAGAGGAAATATTTGATGATGTAACGTGAGATTTGTACTAAAGATTTTTATGTTATTGAACTATTGATTAACTCAGCCATCACATTGCTTTTTAAATACTTAAATGTAAAATTGGAAAATTAATAAAATATTATTAAAAAATATGTTAATGAAGGAATGACAGATAATGAGCAAATTTTATCTGAAAGACAGAAAAGGTACTGAAAAGTGGAAGTAGGCCAAGAGAGTGATTTCGAAAAGGATGCTTTACTGGATATACATAAGAACCCAGTTGAAATTTTAAAAATTGAAAGGGAAATACAAATGATAAATCAAGAGAATTATATGGAAAATGTTTTCTTATTGGATATAATAAAGAGATTTGTTAAAGCTTTGAAGAATTTTGTGCAATGGGATAAAGAATTGAAGGGAAATAAACTCTTATAACAATATTTGATTGAATTAAAGATTAAGACTGTTAGAAGTAAAAGGTGTTTAGTTGATCAATGTTAAAATAAGGCATTTTTTGCAAAGGTGTGATAACCCTTTATTCTGACATCAAAATTGAAAAACTAATGTTTTAAGGAATTGCTTATAAATAAGGGACGATATACAGGATGATAACATATTTGTAACCTGTTAGGGTGTGAAGAGTTATTAGATTTGTTCATACCTGTTGTGATGAAGGTTAGAAGTCACTTCTTTATATATTCTTTTCTTTTTCTATATTATATTCATTCTTTTCTTTTTCTTTTTTCTTTTTTTCCTGCACTTTCATTCTTTTTTCCATTCTGTTCTCTTTGTCTACGTTTAGTTTGTATTAATTTCACTATTATAATTAAAATTCTTAATAAAAAATATATTTAAGAAATAACAAAAGTAAAATTATGCCATTAAAATATTGCCTTATTCCTTGCATCTCAGTGCAGATCCCTTTGCAACCTTTGATACTCCTTGGTGACTTTGATATTAGGTAAGATTCCATTTTCTGTACAGAGCATTATTTGGTTTAAAAATTCAGAATTTGATAACAGTTTGAAACTCAAAAATACAGCATATGGTTATGAAAAACACGTTGAAACATAGAACACATTTTCAAAATATGTTTTGTATGATATGTGTACACAAATATGTATATTTTGGAAAAAGAAAACCAAAGTTAAAATATTTGCAGGTAGGATCAAATATACAGTATTAACTCATGTGGAAATGGTTTAGAAATAAACCAAATCAAACATGCCTACCCCAATCTTCTCAATTTTTCCAATGTTTTTAAAATGATGCAGTGCTTTCATTTCTTTAAAAAAATCAGCCAAATATGATTCCCTTGGCAATTTTTTTTTACCTACAAATGGGTTGAACTTAGTAGCAATGTAATATTGCTTCTAAACAGTATAACAATTATACACTTCACATTTGATTCTGGGCAGCACTTAGGATTGAGTCAGCTTGGCAGCCCTTTGGTAGTTTTACTATTTACTGATATCTACACATTCTAAACCAAAGTCATCAACTGTTGTGAAACAACTCCCCCTCCCCATAAATACACACTGAGGAAAAGGAGAAAATTACAGAAAACTACAAAACTTTGAGGAGTTCTCACATGAGTTCTTGCAAGATTTGGGTCATCTCCTCAATTCTTGCACTGGATTACCATAAGCTTTTAATATTTATTTAATTATAATAGGATGAAAAAGATTTCTTGGAACTGCCAAAGGTGTAATGGTATCCTTGGATACTGTGCTACCATTCCCATAAGATTAGATGTTTCATATTTAACTCGACACAATCCTCTCCTTAAACGATGATAGAGGATTTACTGGTCTATTCATACTGCAGCATGGATGTGAGAGTTCCTTATGCCATTTCATATCTGCTACAAATGTAATGTGTAAAGTACCTATCACGCCTCTTAGACATGGGCCAAACTGCATAACAGGCTAATTAAGCTCTTTTAAATGGAACTGGCCAAGAACAAAATCTAGGGTCATTAGTTCACCCTACATTTTTCAGGAGTAAAGATTTTCTTTCTTTCTAGTCCCCGAAATAATGGATAAAATCCAATTCTGCCCTTTGATGGCAATGGGGACATTTCTTAGTCTCTTCATTTTTGTGTGTGTTTCAAGGCTTAGCAAAGTTTGGGGAAACAGATTTTAGAGATCAAGCTCTGCAGTTTTTCTGCCAGCTCATTTTTAACATAGTAACTGTTGTAAGAAACAAATAAATTATGAATGAGTACTGCTTGCTCATATTATTCTGTAAGTCAGTCTGAGAGCTTTTTAGGGCTGAAGAATAGGATATCAGCATTTCAACAAATAAATAAAAGAAAGCTCACCTGTATGTATTGGCTGCAGGAACTCTCCATATCTGTACACCAGGAAAATGTTCCTCTGTTCCTACCAGTACACTGATATTAGAGATCCTATAGAAATCATTGCACTGGGTCTGAGTAGGTCCTTGTGATCCACTGGCACCACAGGTGGAAAACACCCAATTATCTGAAAGAGATACATGCAGGTATATCCTCAGTATCAAAGAGGTGGCAGTTAATATCCTCAGCTGCATGACAACAAATGAAGAATCTACACGAGCCTCACTAAAGAAACAAACTTCACATTCAGTTGTTCCAATATGCCATGTGCTCTCATTGGTTAACAAAGAGGTCCCCCTCTCCTACAAAGCACATGCAGGATAGATCTGCTGGTAGGAGCAAACTTGAGGGAACCTTGAGATTTGAAGGAGAAAAAACATTTGTAGAAAGCAAACGAAGATGAGAATAATCCCAAAGGACTGGGTATCTTCAACAGATGTAGAGTAAAAAAAGAAACACTCAAAGAAAAACTGAAGGAAGAGAGAACGGAATAGAGCTATATAACAGACTCAATCCTAAAATAGCTTCAGCCTCTCCATCATCCCTTAATGCTCCCCAGTAAATGTAAATTCTATAGATAACAAATTATTTGCCCCTAATTTATACTGATGGAGAAAAATGATACCATGAAGCAATTAAAACTTAATTGCAATTGCTTTTAGCTATACTAAAATACTTAGCTATACTTCCCCTCCATTGTGACTCGCATTTTAATTTTTTACAGTTTAGCTGAATGCTAAACTGAGAATGTCCTTATCTGAATGCAATAAAAATCTCAGTCTAAGAATGGAATTCTAAAAGTTACAAGTTCTTCTCACTTTTCTGTCTCATGGACTTTATTTTCCATTTCTGGAAACAGATGTGTGGACAAGAAAGTTCCAAGCCTTCACCTTACAATAATCTTTCTAAAAGTGGTTAATTATATAAGTTGTCCAAGAAGGGCAAAATACTAAACATACAGTAGTTCTCACATAATTTTTATTGTGATTTAAGTTCCTGAAGATTTTAGGGCACTCATTTTGTCCATTAATCTTCAATTCTTTTTTTTAAAAAAAAGTGTGGTGTGAAAATTTGATATATCCATTGCTGTAGGCTCTATGGACTGAAAAAGAAGCGTAGTTCTTTTTCAAGCTGTGCATTTCTCATCCTTGATTTTGAAAGTTTTTATCATACCCTTTTATTATGGTTAAAAGAATAGAAAAATCAATAACACTATATATAAACCCTCAATAAAGCACAGTCCAGTCCTACATTCATGTTTTCTGAAAGTAAATTCCACTGAACTCAGTGAGGCTTAATCTGGAAAGAACATGTTAAAGGCCTCCTCAGGTGTTGGGAATCTGCATACTGAGCCCACCGATCATTCTTGGGCTTTGGGGATCTGACATGGAACTCTCCTTACTTGAATACCGCTTTGCCCACAATCAGGAAACCTGCTTTATTGGGGCTCAGATCACAAGGAATGCTGCATTTGCATTCAAATAAATATGAATATAATTCCTTTTCAGAATTTGCAACTGAAATGTGAAGGTCCAAGAGAAAAAGGCCTGTTCTATACAGCGACTCATTATGACATAGCAGTGAAATAATTTTAGTACATTCAAGGAGGACCCAATGGGTCTTAGAAGCTCCTACAATGACAGTACATGTTCTATATATTCTAATTATTACATTCTCTGTGCTTTTTTAAAAACATTGAATCCATTCTTTTGTTCAATGAAACTAAGCTGACCATATTTTGAAGAATCAGAAGCCAAGGTTTCAGACTCTGATGCCATGGGCCAACTGATGTTAATATGGTGACTAATAATTTCTCAAATAAGTGTTAGAGCTGAAGGTGACAATTCATCATATACTTTCTATGTGATAGCCTTATGCTGTGGCAAGATTGCTTATGGCATCAAGCTATAAAGGATGTAATCCTGATTGCATTACTTTCAGTGAGATGTCAAAGGCACTCCTGATGGCCCTAATTTCATAATGCCTCAAGGGAAGGAATGAGAAACCATGTGGAAGAATCCAAGATTTTCATATTAATGGGGTAAAGATTCTGAAGTAAAATGTGAGCTACATTTTCTATTTGAACCTTTCCCTAGCCAACTTAATCTTTTTTAAAAAGTATTGCACCCTCACAGAAATTCATGCTCCTCTGTTTAACTGCAAATCAGAAAAACAGGGATATCCTGCCAGCAATCTTGAAGTCTTAACACTTTTCTGTCCCAGTAGGTTCAGACCAGCTGGAACAGAGCATATGTTAAATAAAATGAGCAAGCAAAAGTTTATACCAGGAATATTAAGAAACAGTTGCATTGTCTCTGGTGAAAAATTAAACATGTTCCCTCAAGTGGTAGCAAGTGACCTTGAAAAAAGATTTTTTTTAAAAAAAGAGAAAAATCATACACCAAGAGAGAAGATTAAACAAGAAAAATTGAACTGTGAAGATTTATCCCCATGTCTCATTAAGAAATAAGGACAGTTTAATTGTTGTTTAATGAGTTTTCTATATCATGAGTTTATCCTTTACATTCCAAGTCTGACATTGCTTAATTCTTTACATTTTTTTCTGACACTGCTAATTGGTGCCTGAACATAAAGTAAGAATGTGCTAAAAGATGCATGACACCATTTCATATTCACAGACTTGTACTCCTAAATATATGTGACCTTCAAGCCTGAAACAACCTGCAACACCTTTTATGTTAACCGTATCATTAGGGCAGCTTATCAGACATAAGAAATATAATGTATACAAAAATTAGGAACTATATCCAATTATTTGTACTAATTATTTCAAACTAGTAGTAGTAATAGTAGTAGTCATTGCTTGATGTAAATAGCAACCACTAAACATCTTGGACCATTGGCAAAAATATTATTTAGATAATTTCGATCTCTTTTGTACTGTTAAAAAAATCACCTGGTAACAATTCCAAAGAAACATTTCTTCTTCTTTTGTTAATTTTATTGAACCCAAGAACCATTTATTGAAAAACAATTCTGGGGAATTTATTGCTTCATAATACTTTTAGTATTCTTTCAAACTGAACTTCCTATTTTTCTTCCATATTCTTGTGTTTAATGTTAGCTTCAGATGTCTACCTTATTCTGAACAGGACCTGTGGCCACAAGGTGTTGGTCAGATGACAGTTTTGTGAGGGAGTCTTATCTATCACTGTCTTCCCCATCATTTCATATTCTACCTTTAAAAAATAATTTTCATAATTGCTTGTGTAGATGTGTATTCAAGTATCTTCAACAGAGGGTCAGGAAGTAATATCCAGCAGGGGCTATGGTATAATTCAAACAATCTAAATTTTCTTTTCCTTTTGAAATGCTAAATAGGATCTCTTGGTAGACAGCAGCTTCTCAGGACTTAAGATGTCCTTACTCTCAGAGATCCTGGGAAGAATATCTGGAGACTTTCCCACATAAAGTATGTATTCTTCTGCCTTGCCTTGTGAAGCATCTCCAAAAATATCCCAATGTGGACAGTGATAAGGCTAAAGAATTAGAGACTTAGTCGGAACAGGGCCAGTCCTACATTGGGCAAAGGAAAACAAATTACCTCAGGAGCCAACAACATCAGTCTTTTATTTAAACTTTCATTTTATATGCTATACTGTAAATTAAAACTTAAATGGGTTACTGTTTCTCTTTTACAATTTTAGAAAGGTATGTGCCCCATCTCCTTATTAAGTTTAACTATTAATATGTATATGAAGTTTATGCCTCAGTCTGAATACAAGTATGAAGGAAAGGCTTATGCCACAGATTGATTTAATTCACTTTCCCTCTACTCAGAAATTTCCATAGCACCCACATTGATCTAAAAGCTTTATTAAATGTAGCATTTGCCTGAAGCTTTAAGCATATCAAATATCCAATGCTCCTTTAAACACAGCCTATGATACTTTGGAGAAGGAAGAGGTCATTTCCAGTAAAAATCAATATGTCTCTTTTGTGTATTATTGATATTTTTTTTCACTCGTTCCTCCAAGAACTAAGGAAAATAAATTTGCAGGGTGTCATGCACAAGCCATTAACACATCATACAGCAGTGGTGGAGAACCTATGGCACGGGTGCCAGAGGCGGCACTCAGAGCCCTCTCTGAGGGCACGCGTGCCGTCGCCCCAGTCCTAGGCCGTCAGCTGGGTTTTATAAAACCTTTTTGCTTTAGGCCTCCACTGCCGTGTGCAAAAAAAAAAAGTTTCAATCAATCAGTCAATTTCAACTTCTTGCAGGGAAAAAAATCTTGCAAAGTTGGAATTGATTGATTGAACTTTTTAGTCTGCCGTTACCACCGTAGCCATGCCCAGCCAATGGGCCACACCCACCCAGCACCCGACGATGCATAAATGGGTTTTGGGTTGCAGTTTGGGCACTCGGTCTCTAAAAGGTTCGCCATCACTGTCATACAGAATGGTTTCTATAGGTTGCTACATGTTATGGCAGTTCGGGGTAATTTGGTTTACAGCACAGATTTTGATCTTCATAGATGAAAGAAGCAGTGGTGAAATGGAACCCCTAGTTCCAGAGACTCTGGTGTAGCATTTTCTATCTGCAGACAACATAATGCTGTTCTGCATAGCATTGGCAAATGAATGTGTTTTCCTTTTGTTCTGTACTGCAGAACAGAGAGATACATCAATTGGATAACCCTGTTATCTGAAGCATGCCTACAGATTTGCAAAATCCAGCTAAATATATAATCAATTGCTCAACTGTTCAGAAGAAATACTGATATAGCAAAAAGGGGTTGTCTTGCAGTTAAGCATAAGTCTGAAAAATCCAGGTGCAAATTAGCCTCCGAGAAAAACACTTCAAGTAAGGATTGTCTACTGTCACCTTTGTTTGGATCTGTTGCCCTTTTTATGGCTTCAGTCATGATTTGTATGTATGATTCTTACTATATAAGATGATAATTTTCATTCATAAGTTTTTAGGACATTCTTCATCCACTGGATAAAACATTTGCATATTATCTCATGACATGTACATGCAAACACAGTATCTCACTACAGGCCTTGGCAGCATGAAAAAAAAAAGACAAATTATTTGGATTATTTGTATCATCTGTTGAACAGAAAGTTGAGTAACTGAATAAAAATGAGCCCAGCATTTCATCA